GAGCTTGAGAGTACTGAATTTTTTTTTTTATTTTTTTTTTCTCACGAGTTTGTGAGTGAATACTTAAAACCCCGTCTTGATCTCTACATCTTTACACATACGAAATCCCTGCTCCGATTTCGAATTTGTGAACTCCAGTGATAATTTTAATTTCAGTCTTAAACCAATGCTCTGTGTCAAATCTGGTCTTATGCTTATTTGATTGGTTTTGTGGACATATATATTGAAACTCTTGCTTGCGATTTGTGCTTCTTGGAATTTTTAGTGCGATCCATGAATCTTTGTTATTGACTGTTTCTTGAAATATAACATAGCTGCTAATCCTTATATAAGTTGAGCCATTGATGTTTGTGATTATTGTTTGAACATTATATCCCTTGAAATCCATGCTATTGAATCTCGAACTCACAATTTGAATTTTGTGGCTTTTGTTGTTGGTGATTTTTTTTTCCCGCTCCATGCTAATAGTATTGAAAAGAGTAGAACAAACAAAGATGTTGTTGTTGTTGATGCCCGAGGGAGTGATTTCAATGATGAAACTCATAATGTTGAACATAAATTTTGTTGTCAAGCATATTTGATCATTGTAATTTCGAGAAAGATAATGCCATACTCAAACCATGTATATTTGATGAATAATACTCTGGTACTTTGAACCTTGTGAACACTTTACTTGAGGGAATCAAAAGCCATAGTATAGAATAGGGCTATATATTGTTGTTTGTTGATCTTGTGAATACCCGAGAAAATGAATTATTGATGCCAAAATTTCGTTTGAATTTCTATGAATTTGTGTTGCTTCAATTCCAATAGTCTGAATTCGATATGGTTAACTCCTTGCTGTTTCAGCTATATATGTCTTCTCGAAAGAAATTCGTCTTTTCAAGGCCATCAGAACCGACTCTTATGAAAGAGAGGGATGTGCCCCCAGCGTCCGAATGGAGGAAATCTCCTTATTTTGGCCGGAAGGACCCATTTTGGCGAGCGACTACCTCTACGACTTCTCTTCCATCTCCGAAGAGGCTCCATTGTGTCTTTCTGAGGATACTGATTCTAGGCATGAGGCCCTTATTTCCCCTTCTTTGGTGCTACGCTTTAGGGTTGAGCGAATGGATTTTCCTTACTGTTACCCCCAGTTCAAGGCTCTCTCCAACCCTCCATTTGGTTGGCAGGAATGGGTTTATGATGTCCTCTTGGATAGGGGCCTTTGTCAGAGGCCTCAAGAGGCCTGATTATTAATTCTAGTGAAGATATGTTGATCCTTATCCATTCGCCGCAACAATGCTAGTCTTGAAGCCATGGCTCTCCGGTAGAGCCCCGAGACACACACTTTCATACTTGGCCAACATGAGATGAGGCCTACTCTAGAGGATGTGTTCACGTTGTTGTGCCTAGAAGTGACTGGTCCAAAGGCTTTCTGCCCTGGGCGAACATCCCCTAAGGATGATTCTCTTATCCAATCCTTAAAACGAAATCTTCAAGCTTGTAGTCGATGGAGCTCCGTATTTGATGGTTCAGTGAGGAGGACCAAACTAGTGAGGACGGACCGTGCCTCCTACACCGTATGGATCCACCACTTCTTTAGAGATCTTCAGCCCCCGGCTAGAGATGTTGACCCTGGTTCTCAAGAGTATGAAGTCGGGCCGATGTATGGTTCTAGGCTTTATTTTCTGGGATTTCTAGCTTGCTTCCTCTTCTTCTTCATTCTTCCGAGCACACCTCCAGATTCTCTCAATCCTTTTGTCTTTCCACTGCCAGTTAGATTCTTCAAAGGGGATTGGATCTCCTTGGCCCCACTATTTCTTGGAAACCTTTATTACCGGTTGGATCTACTACATCGAGACATGATACGTTTTGTGGGTCAGTATGAGCCTGTCTTTTTAATCCACAGTCAGTTCCTGCTTTGCTTATTTTTTAAGAGGTTTCCAAAGTTTGCCCCTACTCCGACTGTATTCGAGGCAGAAGTACTTCAGGAGATAGTGGATAAAGAGGGTATCCCCGTGCTTGGTAATGACAGGTCTCGCATATTTAAGAAAGCGAAGACTTGCAAGCCGTTAATCACACGTTGGTCACGTGTCATTTCCACCCTATCCTTGAATACTTTGGTGGATGATCTGCAACGCTTTGTGGCACCCCCCTATGTATGGCCACCGGTGGGTGTGGCGACACCACTTATCTATCATGGCTCCTCTCGACTAGTGTCCTTTTCCTTGCCAAAGGGCATTTCTACACATCTTGTTGACATGTTAATAATGGTTCATCCTAGTTCACTACCAGTATGGCATAAGGAAGGCCTTGATAGTACCATCTATAGACTTGATAGAGTAGCATGTCAATCCAGGTTTGACCAATGTGCCTCAGGGCCGGCACCTCCTTTATTGTCTGTTTCAAAAAGCTACGGGCGCTTTACTCGCAGACTTGTACACACTATGCTTCCTGTATCTGGCTCTTTGACGATGTCGGGTTTGAGTCGGGTAGGGGGTTTCACCCCCCCTTTCAAAAGATATTGGCGGAAGAACATTGATGTATTTATTGAGTTTGTCTAGAGTAAACCGACTATATGTTTTCCTTTGTTGATTTATAAGAAGGACTCCTCTCTTCGGCTGCCTGAGAGTCAGAAATCTGATCATATGTATGAGAGCTTCTTCGTTTCATCTGTTCCGAATGACCCTCCAGCTCGGACATCTACTTCTAGCTTGGCAATTGCTGCTCCAGAGCCAGTCCCTCTGGTCCTCGAACGACCTGCCTCAAGAAGATGGCCCACAAGCGGGCTTCTGATGCCAGTCTTTTTACTCCTCACCTTTCCAAAAGGCTCCATCAGGTACTAGATAGAAACCTTAGTTTTTTTTTTTTTCCTGTTGATTTGAAGTTACTTTCTTTCTTACGACTATACCTTCTTAAATGAACACTATTTACTTTGCCTGTTGTACAGGACCCTACTCCATTTTTTGATCTTGCGATTGCTAACGTTCTCGATACCGTGGATATTGCCCATGTTGCCCCTACCAGGACGGACTCAGACCTAGATGACACTCTTCCTTTGTTTGCAAGACTCGGGAAGATGTGCACCCCTCGTATAGCAGCTATAGATGATAATGATGAGGTTGAGTCTTTCGATCATTTTTGTGACCTTGTCCCGCGTGTACGTCATCACCATCCTAATTGTGACTGAGGATGCCTTTCCGTCGGTCAGATATTTCCCTCCTCGTTCAGTTGCAGGGGAGAAGCGCCATCTTGGTGACGAGGTTATTGGGGCTCACTATTCTGATGTTAAGATTATTGAGAACCATGGCTTTAGTGCTGAGATTGTTAAAGGGACTAGTGCTACAGGGATTGATGCCGCAGGACATACTTGTGGATGCAATATAGAAATGAGGTGTACTTCTGAGGGACATGCTTCTGGAGGCCGTTCAGAGATGAGGTGTGCTTCTGGTGGTGCTAAGGGACACATTTCCAAAGGCGGCATAGAAATGAGGTGCGCCTCTGGGAGTAGTGTAGAGGTGGATGTGCTAGAAGTCTCTAAGACCCGCTTTGGCACTTATGGTGATTCTCATCCTCCAGCTTTCCTTCATTTTTCAGGGATGACTGCTACTGTTCTGGCTTCATTGGACATTGAGATCGATCAAGTGCCCCGTACGGCCAAGTGACTTTGTTAATGCTAGGAGCCCTTCAGTTACCCCAACTTTGCATAATGATTCTCCCTCAAGTAATCTTGCTTTTTGAAGTTGTCATGTATTTCTATCTATGAGAACTTTTTGCTTAAATGGATTTACTGCTTCTTGCCCCTAATAAGACTTCCTTATATTTTCTTCAGTGTTAGCCACTACAGGGGTCCTGCCTTCACCTGCCTCAAACTCTGCTCCGACTCTCTTTGTGACTCCTTATGGCTCTCCTTCTTGAGGGGACACACCTACCTTTGAGACAACTGCTAAAGGCTCTTCATCGCAAGTCCCTTTGAATGTTTTGGATCTAAATCTCAATGATTTCCACTTTGATAGTGATGCTTTTGGTCTTGCCCCTCATCGGACTGTATTCTCAGGCTCCGAACTTCTCACAGAAGTTACCCCTTCGGGTGGTTCATCTAACCCGATAGAAATTGGAGAGGTCCCTGAGCCTAATACTTTTCTGGCCCCAGTTCTCCCTCCAGCTTCTGGCAAAGTACCATTTCTCCACTATTGGGTAGCTCCTGAGTTTGCATCAATTCTACAACTTGTGCATTCGAGTTACCCTGAGACCTTTGCTTCCTTTGCTTGCTAATGTCCACTCATTCAGACTGCTCTTCTTGCATCTTTTGCCACTATCCTATATAGCTTGGACATGCAACGGCTGTGTGACCTTTACGGGAAAGTAGTCGAGACAGCATATCAGGGGACCTCTGACATGGAATGCCATTAAGTGGACCTATCTTGGCTTTGGAAGCGCCTAGATATAGCCTCGAATGCCAGTCAACGAGTAGAAGTTTGTCTGTGCTTGTCCCTTATCGAACCTCTATAGATGAGACAAAAGCAATTTTCCGTGAACTTGAGTCGAGCTATGCTCGGGCCTTTAAGGCTTTAGAGGCACACTCTACTGCTTGTCCTCAAGATGTAGATGTGATGGGCAGCTTCTTTGAAAGTGTTTTTAGAAAAGATTGAGTTTTTTTTTTAATTACTTTACTGCCCCTTTTGATAAGAATGTTTTATCTAGGACAATGCAATGAAATGACAATCCTTGTGTTTTTTTTTTGTTGGAGATTTTCGCACTGTTTTCTCATTCTACTTGATAAAACATTTATCTCAAATGATACAATGGAAAGAACAAACACATGCATATGTTCATAAAAGTTGAAATATTCTCATTAATTCTTTGACTTTCTTGACAAAAGTATAAAATATTGACTACAAGTGATGGAATCAGACATACATCATAAAGGAAATCAGCTTCTTCATAACATAAGAAAAATACAACTTTTAGATAAAGTAAGAAAAAATGAAAATGAGATTTGACACAAATGAGTCTGTTTATAGGTAGTAACGTTTGATGAACTTTGCATTGAGTAGGCCTATTCGGAAGCCATCGTCAATCCTTACGAGCCTGTAGTACTCGCTTGAGCTTGCTTGAACCACCCTGTAGGGCCCTTTCCATTTCGGAGAAAACTTGGGCAAGGGTTGTCCTCGCATGATTGGGTCTACAATCTTCCATACTAGATCACCCTCTTCGAACTTTCTTGGCACCACAGTCTGATTATAGGCTCGGGTGATGGACTCATGATACCTTTCCATGACTTTTGCGGCTCTGTCTTGTTTTTTCTCTAATGCCTCCAGTCTGGTGGTTCGAGGCTCAAATACCATTCCCGAGGCAAGAGCCATCCGAGCAAATGGTATCTCTAACTCTATATGTAACACTGCCTCAGACCCATACACAATGGAGTAAGGAGTTGCTTGAGTTGGCTTTCTCTTTGAGGTGCGATATGCCCATAGGGCTACTATTAACTGTTCAAACCAAGTCCCACCGAATTCATCCATCATCTTACTCAGAATTATTATCAGGGTCTTATTCGTGGCCTCCGCTTGCCCGTTTCCTTTCGGATAATAGTGTGTGGATTTGTGATGCCTCACTTGGTAAGTCTCTAGACGGTTCTTCACATGGTTGTTTATGAAGGGTGTGCCATTGTTCGAAATGATGGTGCTCAGTACTCTGAACCTGTAGATGATATTTTCCTTCAAAAAGTTTGTGACTGCGGGCACAGTAGTATTCTTCAAAGGGATTGCCTCGGCCCATTTTGTGCTCAACTTCGTAGCCATAAGGATCCATTTATACCCTTTGGATGATGAAGAGATAGGCCCTATAAGCTCAAAAGCCTAGGTATAAAATGGCCACGGCATTCGGATGCTATGTAGATCTATGGTTGGCACATGGATCAAGTTTTCGTGTTTCTGACAAATCTGACACATTTTCACGTGATGAGAGGCATCTAACTCCATGGTCGGCCAATAATACCCAAGGTGTATCAGTTGCTCGAACAACCGAGCCCCTCCTTGATGTTCAATTTCTCATGGGCTCTTTCGAGGACTAGTTCCAACTCCTCCTTGAAAAGACATCTCAGGGGAGTGCCCGAGGACTAGTTCTGACTCCTCTTTGGAAAGACATCTCAGGGGAGTGCCCTCAATGCTTCTTCTATAAAGCTTGTTCTAATCAAGAAAGTACCGTCTCGTTCTCCTCTTGAGATGTGTAATGTCCCTCGGGTTCTCAAGTAATGTTTCATCCTTAAGATAATCAATGCAGACTTGTCTCCAGTCGGGGGTATCAATTTTGAAACAACTCTCATCCTCCCAGATGTATGACTGACATTTGGGGCATTCTTTCTGTAGTTGGTTCGAGGCCTTCTCCATATTGGGGCCAATAATAGCCTTGTCTTTGGATCCTTCTGTACAAACTAATATTCCCATCTCCCGCAGGACTTTTCATGAATCTGTTGTAATTGGAAGCTTGCTTCTTGTTGGCCAACACACTGGGCTAGGAATTTGGTATTTCCTCGAAAGTAAAGTTCACCTTGGATGATTAGGAATTGAGCAAGCTTAGTCATGGTCAATTTTCTGACTTTGCTTCTGACTTGTTTGAGGACTTCTTCTCTCCAGTCCTTTGGAAGGTCTTTGTTCTCGGGTATTATTGAAGGTTATGTTCTCTTCTTGATAACAATTGTTGCCTCCTCCTCTGGAATGTCAACTTTTGCCCCTAGTGTTGCGACGGCATTTGAAAATTTGTTTTTGGAGCGAGGCACATGCTTTATTTCGACCTTCTAAAATTTGTCAAGAAGCCTTGGGACCGTCGTACGATATGTTGCCAAGGCAAGCTCTTTCAAGATGAACTGTCCTGAAACTTGCTTCACTATCAGCTTCGAGTACCCCCAAATCTGAATCTTCTTGATACTATGCTTCTCAGCTGTTATCAAGCCTAAAATAAGAGCCTCATACTCAGCTTCATTATTTGAACAATGGAAGTCCAGCTTATAAGACAAATACAACTTTTCTCCACTTTTGCTTGTAAAGACTATCTCGGTTCCACCTTTCCCTTCGGCTATTGCTCCGTCAAAGCTCAATGTCCAAAAACTTTTCTCGGAAACCATAGTTGTATGCACTTCTCCTATTAATTCTTCATTCACTGGTTGATAGTCACCACTTGGAAATTGGGCAAGGAAATCAGCTAAGGCTTGGCTTTTGATCGCCTTGGGAGCTACACATGTGATCTTGAATTCCCCCAGTGCTAACAACCATCTTGCCACCTTCCAAGTTAGAGCAAGCTTGTTGAGGAGGTATCGAATTGGATCACTTCCAGTAACAATCTAAATTTGATGTGCTAAGTAATGTCTGAGCTTTTGGCGGTGACTACTAAAGCTAAACAATGTCTCTTCGCCGGAGTATATCGGACTTCTGCTCCTCGAATCTTCTGGCTGATGTAATACACCGGGCGTTCTACTCCATCTATATCTTGGACCAATAATGCCCCTATGGACCTGGGGATTGGAGTTAGGTATAACATCGGAGGCACCCCAGGCTGTGGGGCTATCATGGTCTAAGGTGAGGTCAAGGCCGCCTTGATTCTCTCGAAGGCTTTTTGGTACTCTTGGTTTCACTAGAACTTGGCGTCTCCTTTTAGCAAGGAACTGAAGGGGGAAAAGATCTCTACAAGTGCTGGAATAAACCTTCGAATATAAGACACTTTCCCGAGGAACTTCTTTAACTCCTTCTAAGAATGCGGGGGAGGCATTGTTTTGATGGATTTGACCTTGTCTTCATCTGCTTCGATGCCATGTCTATGTACAAGAAACCCAAGAAACTTTCCAACTGTCACTCCGAAAGCACATTTGAGAGGATTCATCATCATTTTGAATTTCTAGCACCTTTTAAATACTTTCTCAAGGTCTCGGAGATGGTCCTCTTCTTTTTTAGACTTTACCACCAGATCATCAACATAATCTTCCACTTCATGATGGATCATGACATGAAAGATTGCAGTCATAGCCCTTTGGTAGGTTGCTCCGGCATTCTTGAGTCCAAAAGGCATGACTGTATAGAACAAATTTTCGAAAGGTGCTCTAAAAGTAGCCTTTTCTGCATCCTCCTTGGCCATTTTAATCTAATTGTATTCGCTGAATCCATCCATGAATGAGAACATCTGGTGTCCTGAGGTGGAATCCATAAGAGTGTCGATGTGAGGTAGAGGAAATTCATCATTCGGGCAAGATTTGTTTAGATCTCGAAAGTCTACACATACTCTGATTTGACCATTCTTTTTCTTCACTAGTACTATATTTGCTAACCACATGAGGTACTGTATTGGTCAAATAAAACTGACCTGTTGAAGCTTTTCAATCTCCTCCGTAATTTTTTTTTGAGATCCAGATGATATTTTTGAGCAGCTTGCTTGATCAGTTTAGAGTTTGGGAACACATCAAGATAATGAAAAATTAGGTCAGGATCTAGTCCGGGCATCTCCTTATATGACCAGGCAAACACATCCGAGTATCAGCTTATCAATTTTAACAATTGCCCCCACTTTTCTAGGCTAAGGCTCGAACTTATGAATATCGCCTTGGAGCATCTTGCCCATCACTCAGATCTACTTCAATAAGTTGTTCGGGTTGAGGCTGAGGCTGAGGCTTGTCTTGCATGCATTCTAGAGCCACTTCGGGCTTTATTACTATGTCTTTGTCAAGAGGCTCTTCTTTTGACTTGAAGTCGGTGGCTAACGAAACCGGCTCCCCGCACCTTCACAAATAGCACACCATCTTGCCCCCTTCTTGGCCTTTCATCACCTTCCGAGGAATAAGCGGACTTCCTGGTTGAGACATTGTCCACTTACTTGATTTTGCCTCTGGCTCCTTGTCATCTTTGATATTCTCCCAACGAGGAATTTTGACCCTCCCAGGTTTAGAGGTGGTGGGATTTTCTTTGATAGACAATTCGGTGAAGTAGATGGCATCAAAATAATGAGCTTCATGGGTTTCAAAAGGCCTTTCTATAGCCTGAATTGTCACCGTCTTCTTTCTCCATTTAGCCTTAACACACTGATGATAACTCGACGGTACAGCCCCATATCTATGCATCCAGGTCCTCCCTAGAATGATGTGATAGTTTGCCTCGGAGTCGATAATATGGAACTTGGTGGCCGAGCAAATCTCTCCGATGGCTAAATCAACTGTTATGCATCCCATAGTAACTCTCATTTCTCCACCGAAGTTAGTGATGACTATCGGCTACTTCACAATGCGCTCTTTAGAGATTTCGGCCTTCTCTAGAGAAGCGCAAGTCATAATGTTGATAGAGGCTCCACTGTCTAGAAAGGCCCTTTTGAACTCAACCCCGTTAATATAAGCAGTTACATAAACAGGCGGTTGTGAGAAAAGGGATACTTCCGATTAGTCTCAGAGAAAGTAATAGCACTAGATTGCTCTTTTGCCTTCATCGAGGTGGATCCCTCAGCCAACATGCATTCCTCATGGTGTGTCTCGGCTATATTGATGATAGCTTTGGTGATTTCTGTTCGTGCCTCCCTGGAAAGTCCAAGTTGGTCGAAGAATTACTTGAACTTTACACAATCTTGCAAGGTTTTGGCGTAATGATCCGAATTTTTCTCCACTCTTAGAGGCTTATAGTTAACTATCTCCTCGATCTCTTCAAAATAAGATGCCACATAAACATGGTGTCCTCCTCCGTAGTATTCTTCTCCTCCCTCTAGATCGAAGGGACCTTTAACATGAGCCATAAAGGCTCTGCCCTCTGGATCGAGAGCACTTCCACAATAAACTTGTTCACCCTCGGGCTCGATGGTGTCGTCCAGATAACAATCGTCGTCATTGAGATTGAAGATGACCTCAATCATTAGGCCTTCGTATGCTATCATAGCAACATTCTTCTCATTGTCTCGGTGCTGAGGATATGGTTGTTCTCGGATGTCTTGAGTTCCCTACTTTTTGAACCTCTATTCATCTGTCTCGACTTTATCTCTGAAAATTTTCCTGAGAGTCCAACATTTCTCTGTCGGATGTTTCAATGTGCGATGATAGATGCAAAACTCGAGGCTCTCGTGGTCTTTCCTTGATAGGATTTCCTCGACAGAAGGCAATTTTAGCTCTCGTCGGCCACCCATTCCTTAACTAGAGCTTTTACCTCCTCAATTCCGCATGGATCAGAAACATTGCCCTTTTCACCACTATATTCCTTCCTCTTTTGGCCTCTATGACCCCCTCCTTATGACTTTTGAGTATTTGGGGTACAGGCAGTAGCAACAATAGGTCCACAAGACAATTTGAGCCTAGGAAGTGCTAATTTTCTGAGTTACTTCTATCAGTGTCGAGAAGGTGGGTAGCTTGTGGTTAACTAGAAACAATTTGTACCTGTTCAATGCCCCTTCTAGATAGATTTGAACCAGATAACTCTCATCTACAGCTTCATGGCAATCCACAGCCTTGTCTTGAAATCTTTTGACATAGTCAAGAATGTCCTCACTTTCTTGTTGCTTCTCCTTACACAATGTAAGTGTGGTCACCTTCTCAGCCATTTGAAAGAACTTGGCATGGAATTTGTTGATCATCTCCTCCCAACTTCGGATAAAGTTTGAGGCCAAGTTAACATACCAACTATATGCTCGATCAGTGAGGGACTTAGATAATTCTCTCAGCCGAAGGACTTGGTTTGAACCATGAATACCTAGAGTCTTGATGAATCGCACAACATGTTCTCGAGCATTTCCTTGTTTGCCATCGAATTCGATGAACTTCAGCACCGTATACCCCTCAGGGTAT